TAAAGCATTTGCAAACTATTCTGGAAACTCCCTCATAGTTAAGTCGAACAGATGAACCATACTGATTAAAGAACCATGGGGAGGTTACTCTTCAAATGGCAAGAGGCTACCTTTCCATCTTCAACAGTTGAGTATATATGGTAATATTTTGGGGATATTGAAAGTAGGATTGTAGAGCTATGTGACAGGTGAAGAAGTTGGCAAAGGTGCACATGGGCCCTTGTTTGTATAAACTCTATGGTGTTAGCACTCCCTGCAGTGGAAAAGTCACTTTTCAGGTATGCACATCCAAGGGTAGAGAAGGTTATCTCCGAGTGATCTTGTCATGCAGTCACAAAGAGGCTCGGCTCTGGAGTCAGATGGCCTGAGTTGGATTCCCACCTCCGTCACATATGTGTGCTGTTGGGCAAGTGATGCTTGCATATCTCCACAACTTCTTTGTGACTCAGTTTCTCCAACTGAAAAGAGTCGTATAAAATCCCTAGAAGAGTGCTTTTTGCACATTAGAAGAGTATTAGTTATCTAGTACTGTGTAACAAATTACCCTAAAACTTGATGCCCTAAAACAACAAATACTTCTTATCTTGTAGTTTCTGTAAGTAGGAACCAAGGCACACTTCTGATCAGTGTCTCAGGCTTGGGATCTCTGTAAGGTTACAGTCAAGCCATTCATTAGCCCAGGCTGCAGTCTCATCTGAAGGTGGGGTAGGGGGAAGTTGAGATCTGCTTCCAAGCTCAGTCACATGGTTGCTAGCGGGCCATGTGGCCCCTCCCACAGGATGGTTTCACAGCCCAGCAGCTGACCCCCTACCCCCATTTTGAGTAACCCTGGAGAAAATGTTTGGGAGCATCCAAGATGGAAGCCAGTCTTGTCACTTAATCTTGGAAATGACATCCCATTGCCTTTGCTGCCTTCTGCTTGCTACGAGAGAATGGCTCGATCTAGTCTATAGACAAGGGGAGAGGACTATACAAGGGCATGAATACCAAGAGGTGGGATCTTGGGAACCACCTATGACAGTCAGCTCATGCTTTAACTTGTATCTTCCGTCCACATGTCTGTGAATTTCAAACTTACACATCCTACTGGCTACTTGATATCACACATATCCTGCGGTCTACATGGTTTCTCCCCAGGATGTCTACTAGGCACCTTAGATCTGACATGCAAAAATGGAGTGCCTCACACCTGCTTCTCCCATGATCTTTTCTGGTCTAGTGAATGGCAACTCCATTCTTAGAGATGGTCTGGTCAAAAACTTGAACGGATCCTCCCTAACTTTTCTTTCTCTTATACCACTTGTCTACTTGCCCTTCAAAATAGATTCTTTGTCTTATACCACTTGTCAACTTGATCTGCAGAATATATCCAGTTCTCCCTACTCCCTCCCCCAGTATCACCCATTCACCCGTGTGTTGGGTGAATTTTTGCAGTCGTCTGACTGCTCTCCCTGCTTTCTGCCTTGTCCCATTATGGTTTGTTCCTTACAACAGACAGAATGATCCCTTCAAACATAAGGAAGATCATTAGACCGCTTCATTCACAGTTTTCGAATGTCTTCCTGTGTCACTTGGAGTAAAAGTCAAAGTCTCTGCAGTGGCCTACGGGGCCTCTCGTGATTAGAAAATTATTTTTCTGTATTTAATTATATAAAATGATGTATATATGTATAATAAATACCCTATATATGTATGTCTGTGGAAACATGTTTATATTTTAATTACTTAATTTATTAAAATTTATTTTCTGAATTGTGTAAGATGAGGATCTGACTCTTTCCAAATGCAAAGCTGATTTTCCCGGCCCTGTTTATAGACTAGAACATCCATTTCCCCCTGAAGTGGTGTTTCACAATGAACCTGTTTCTTTCTTTCTTTCTTTTTTTCCTATGCTGTATCTCATTGTTGAATTTTAGAACAGCGACGTACCTGACAGTCGTATAAGATACAATTGTGGTTTTAGAGATCTCATTTGATACGGTATACTCAAACACGTAGAAAAGCCGCTTGAATTCTAATTGGGAATTAATTATGGAGAATATTTACTTATGTCCCTTTATTTGATAGATAAGGAACTAATTCTACGTAGGAGATGGTGCTTAAATTGAAAAATCCAGTTAGTGGCAAAATTGAGATGAAAAGAAAGAGAAAAAAAAAACAACAAACCTCATGGCTTTTGAGGCACTGTTTCTGAATCGTGTTGATACACTCTGCTGCTGTTGCTTATTTGTAAGTGTTTCAGAAAATTACCACAAAAATGCCTATTGGATTTCAGACCCCATAAGGATATCATCTGGATTGGAATCCTGGTTTATATAGATAACTTCCTGTGTTCAGGCAGATCTGTGAATGCTCTCGTCCCCTGGTGTTCTTTTCTTTTTTCTAGACTTTTGGTCTTGTCTCTAGAGCTTCAACTGGCGAACAAGAATGGATAGGCAAAGGAGATTAAGTTCAAGTCTGTTTGGTTATTAGCAACACTGCTGAAAAGTTGGCTGAAAGAGGAAAGGATATCGAAATTATTGTTTAAAATGAGGTGTATTAGAATGGCCAGTGGTTCTTCTTTTGACAAAACCTGCCCCCTACGTGGTGCATTTTGTGTAATTGAGGGTCAGCGCTAAATCCTGAAATGAATCATGTCCAACTCCTTCACATCTACAGAGATAAGAATGGAAAATCTTGTCTAGATCAGGCCTTGCTTCTCCTGCTTTTTTTGTTTTGTTTTGTTTTGTTTTGTTTTGTTTCTCCTCTCCAAACAGTGTGACTTGCCCCTCTGGACACCTGGCTTTGGCTGCGGAGGAAGGGCCCTGAGCTCATCGGGGAGCCATTCTGCCTCTCCCAGATAAGATGGGTCCACGTGGTGGCAAAATCTAATCCAGAAATGAATGTCTTTCTTTAGGCAAAAGCAGCACAGAAGGAGAACGAGTACCACGAGAGGGTACTGAGCTTCTGGTAAACTCTTCGAACCAATGCCATACATGGCATTCAGTGAGTCAGTAGGCACGAGTGATTAAACCCTAGGTCTGCTTCAGGCCCAGATTAACTTGTTGTGTGCTGTCTGCCCCACTGGGCCGGCAGCTTCCTTTGAGGAAGAATTGTAAACCAGACAACAGAGACCCTCCCAGTTAACATATCAAGAGAGAGGGGCACCTGGATGGCTCAGTGGGTTAAGCCTCTGCCTTCACCTCGGGTCATGATCCCAGGGTCCTGGGATCGAGCCCCGCATCAGGCTCTCTGCTCAGCAGGGAGCCTGCTTCCCTTCCTCTCTCTCTGCCTGCTGCTCTGCCTGCTTGTGATCTCTGCCTGTCAAATAAATAAATAAAATCTTAAAAAAAAAACAAGGGAGAAAGCTGGTAACAAATGAAAGAAAGGCAGTGATTTATTTTTAGTAAAAGAAGATTAATATCAGCCAGGAACGTGCAGTGGGCTCGCTTACATCTTCCTCCTCCCTTTAAAATTCTGTTCTTACCCAAACGGTAAGATAAAGACAGTTTGTCGTGCTTTGAACTTCCTGGCTTATGTTGATTTGTAGCAATATGTTACTGTTACACATTCGAGTGGGAGCTCGGTTACATTGCATGAAAGCTGCTGGGAAAACTAATAAAATCGTGACAACCCCACTTTCGGTGGGTATTGATAGCATCAAGAAAATAAAAAAGACTTTGCCATTTTCAGGCAGTCGCTCTTCCAACTAGACTGAAAATATAATGGGCTTCAACTCAACTCACTTGTTTAAACATTAGCGAAGAGGAGCTTTCTCTTCCTCCTTGGAAGTTCTGAGTGCCTACACGCAGATAACCACAGATAGACACTACTCCCTCCCTGCCAGAAGTTCTTTTCAAACCTATTGAGTCTTCTATAAAGTCATAACTTCAGAAGGCTTTCAAGGAATTAATTGTTCATGTAGTCACCGAGTGAGGCATGAAGGTATATCCTGTCTCTTACAACTGGGTCATGGGATGGTGACCGGGCAGTGGCCTCAGGACCTTTGGAGATGTGGAGGGTTTGGCATCCCAGGTGGGATGCAGTCATTGGAGTGCGAGAGCAGGTTGGCAGTCTTGCAGCATGCTTTCAAAACAGACGAGGAAGAGCTCGTAAAAGGCTAGAAGAGGTTGCAGACGTATTTGAAGCTCATTTCCAGGTCCAGATGGCCATTGTCACAAAACAGTGGGGTGGACTTGTGGGAGCATTGGGAGAAGCTGGAACAGCACCCAAGGACAAGGGAACATTGTAACATCACAAGGCAGAAGAGAACTTTCCAGAGCCACCTTGTCGTACACAGTTCTAATGTGTAGGCTTTGTCAGCTGCTCTGAGTGGGGGTAAAGAGGCGTGCATATTTTAACCATTCATTTCATATTCAGCGTGCGAAGTCAACGCTGCCTCCCAGCTGGGCTGGGGCACTTCTTTATGGAGATGTATCGAGTCAGAGTGAAAACCTGTCAATGACCTATTTGTGGTGCAAAATAGGAAATTTCCTCCTTCTAACTCTGCCTCTTTTTTTTTTGTTCCATCCTAACAGCCCGGTATTTAAAGATACTACTATTAGCTCAGTGAGTCTGCGTCTTTAATGGGCAGAATCAGATGAACTTTAATTTGAAACAAAACGTCCTCCACTTCCTACCCTTGGTGGCTACACATCAGTTATCTTTAATTATGAAACATCATGGATCCTTCTCTGTGTACTGATTTCAGTTAGTAAACTTGGAATTTGGCAGGCATGTCCCCGGTGGTATAGATCATGATTTTCAAGATGTACTTCCCGCCCCAGCAGGTGCTCTGTTTTCTTTCTTCCTCCCTCCTCCCATCCCCCCACCCCACCCCCAGCATTTCAGGGCACCCTAGGTAGATCAGTGGTGTGATAGCTTCGTTCTGATAATTAACATGCTTGTTTGAGGTTATAAAATATACATCTGAGAGAAGCCAGGGATTTCCCCCTGAATATCAACTAACTGCTTGAAGTGGCATTTTTCATTCTGACTTGTTTTGTTTTCTTTTCCTGTAGCATACTGCAGCAGAATGAAAGCATTTTTTCTGAGGCCTCAAAAGTAGTGCTGCCCTAGACCATGAGCAAGAAGGCGTGGACTTCAGCCTACACGGACGGTCTGGAAACACAAACAGCCGTGGGTAAGTCTTCTGGAGGACTCGGCATTCCTAGCTCTAGGTTTCATCAGTCATCATTTATTTGGGGTCTTGGGACCTCTTATTCAAGTGTCTGGCTATTTCTCTACAGCCCATGCATGCAACAGGTCGTTTGAGAAAATGTTGTTCTAAGCATCAGGGAGCCTAGAGAACAATGAAATTTACTTAGTGTGTTTGTTTCAGACATTGCAGTGCAATGCAGTTGTGGTTAGGGAAGACCAAAACAGAGGGGGGGGAAAAAAAGAATCCCAAACAACCGAACACACAAATGACTGGCAAAGTTTGTCTTCCAGATAATCGCTTTTAGCTGAGAGCTAAGGGATTAGTCACACACGAGACTGTCGATCCGATCTGATGGCAGATTTCTTACCCCATAGTGGAGTATCAGGGTGGGGAGGGTGAGATGCACTGGGGTTTTCCAGGTCTGACTCAACCTACATTTATTGAGCACCTTTTAACTACACGTGGTGCCCCACATGATGGCCTTGGTCTGGAGGTGGAATTCAGGGCTCCAAACTATAAAGAAACAAACAATACAGGACACCAAAATATTGTGGATTTCCAAGCAAGTTTGATCAGCCTAGTGGACTGTTGTTCTTAGAAACAGTCCTCAAACGGAAGCCAGTTCTCCCCACCCATCTCAGGGACCTCGGACAACTTACTCATCCTTGGGGAATGGGTTACTTCTAAAAAAACTCCAGTGTGTGTCTCAGTGACCTCCAAGGTCTCTTGCAAATCTAAAAATTCCACAGTTCACACTGCTGAAATTAATTAAATCATTATCCCCTTTGGTTCTTGCTCAGCCCAATCGATGTGAGCCCTTGGTGAGCCATCTTGGGGCAGGGAAGCTCATTGGATGGGCCAATGTGGAGAAAAAGGGCCAGGCACCGTGGGGTCCTTTCTCCCTCCTTCTCCCTGCGATCTTGTGAACCAGGCCTTTGATCAAACAGGCCTTATGGTGTCTGTGGTTAGTAACGCATTAAAGTAATGCATTAAAGACAACGTGACACATTGTTACATGAATACAATATAATGTAAATATCGTCGTTTAGTTTTCCGACGGGGATCTCACACCTCCTTCTCTGTTTGGCTGTCACTATCTTCTGGGTTATCTGCCAGTCCCTTGGGGAGCCCCAACCTTTTTTTTTTTTTTTTAAACATTGAACAGAATTTATTATTTTTCTTTCTTACTAAACATCCCTTTTCCGCAGCAGAGCTATGAATGACACTTTAAATGATGCTCAGATGTCACTCTTGTTGGCAGCTGGCTGGCTGCCTCGGAGCAGTGCATTATTTGGGTTTCGTGACAGCATTTTTTTTTCTCTCACAAATGTTAAATTACGAACTTCAGGAAACCACATGAATGCGGTGGAATGAAAAGGCGAACGTGGTGTTCTCGGGAAATGCCAGTGTTATGGTTCTCCTGGTGACGGTCCCCTCCCTGCCCTCAGCACACCAAGCCCGTTTACCTGCCTGGTGGCAGTCTTCGAACGCCCGCCTTGATCTTCACTAATGCTGCCCGCCACGGCCCCCTTGTCACACTGAGTCGGGAGGTTTGACTTAAGATGATTGCATGGGGCTGTCTCTGTGCAGGTCCTGCCTGACCCCCGAGCCCAGCTCACCCACCAAGTCTTCCTGGCATGCTCGGGCCTCTGTGAACTCCTGTAACACTTAGAACATGCATCCTGTGGGGCGCCTGGGTGGTCGGTTAAGCATCTGACTTCGGCTCAGGTCATGATCCCGCATTGGGCCCCTTGCTCCACAGGGAGCCTGCTTCTCCGCCTGCCGCTCCTCCTTTGTGCTCTCTCTGACAAATAAACTTTAAAAAAAAAAATGCATCATTAAAAAAAAAAATCTATGGCTGTGTAGCGCCTTGTGGGGGTTTGTTATCAACCTGTCTGGGTTGCAGACTTCCTGAAGGCAGGGATCAGATCATGGCCCCATGTTTCTCCAGGGTGGTCTAGCCCCGGGGTCTCCTGCAGCCAGAGCCACCTGGGCATGTGTCTTAAAGTTGCAGATTCAGCAACACTAGGTTCAGTGAGTCAGAATTTCTGGGGATGTGAAGCCCGAGAGACTCACCGCAGAGAACTCTTCTGCACACTGAGGTTTGTGGACAGCGGCCAGCGTCTACTTGCTCATCCTCTGGGCCTCCATACCTGCTGCGTCGGGTCTAGATCTGAGCACATGGTAGGTGCCCAGGAAGTATTTGCTTGTTGATTTCAGCAGCCCCCAGCCATGAGGGTTGCCTTTATCCTTCAGCAGCTTTTAGCCTTTGCGGGATGTGAGGTCTGCGTGTTCTCTGAACCCGGAAAAACCCCGTTTTGTCCAAAGGTGTAAAGTCCCCTTGGTCAGAGGCTGTTCTGGAAACCTTTTGATGTCCCTTCTCTTCAACCGGTGGCTCTGACTGTCCCCTATTAGTGGCCTGGCTCCTGCTGCGTACAGCCCAGCAGTCATGTCAGCTGCGGGGAGAGGGACCGGGGTGTCAGGACAGGAGGCGATCTGAGGTGGGAGCAGTGCTGTGGGAACCCAGTCGCTTCATCCTCGGATCCCGAGGCCACGCCCGCTGCCCTTGGTAGTTTATCTCGAATGCTGTTTCTTTCAGCTGCTGGGGCTCGGGGGTCGTCAATTTCAGCGGCGGGAGAGCCATCCCGCAGGGACACGGATGAAGTTCAGCTGCAGTGGACGCACATCAAAGTGTCCTCAGTGCGAGTAGCAGATTCGAGATTTCAGTCTGATGACAACAGCCTGCAGTGGTCACCCCAGGCCCCCTCCCCACCTCCTCCACTTGCGTCCAGCAAGAGCAAGCCAAGCCTTGCCGGGTGGCATTGCTCCTAGTGCAGCTCGTGATGCCCTCGCTGGCAGGTGCCACCCAGGGAGGAGATCTGACAGAAGCCAGCCCAAAGAACCCAGAGAAGTCTCGCCGGCCTATAAGGGAACGAGTGGGTGCATTGGGAAATTTATTAGTTGTCACGACAGCCACCACCGCCTGCGTGAAGGCTTTTTTTTTTTTTTTTTTTTTGCAACTTTTCTTCATTTTCACTCTCGCTTAGTCACAGTTTCACTCAAGTTGTGTCGCTCTTGAATAAAGTTTGTGTTAAAAGGCACATTCAGGCAAGGGATGGGAAGGATCTTCTCCTGGGCATCTGTCTAATCTTGGCGATCGGAGCATTGGGGAGTGGGAAGGTAGAATGGATTGGGAAATGGGGTTTTTTTCCCCCTCATTCTCAGCTAAGGGAGGAAAAGAAAGCACAGGTTTCCAAAGCAGCATTAAGAGCAAAAGAGGCTTTTGCACATGGTGCTTCATTGAAACCTGATTAGACTTTCTCTGGATGGCCCCCCTTCCAGTGGGGATGGGGCGTGGGCTGTGTTTGTGATGCAGGAGGCAGGTGCATAGGCTGTCAGTCATGGAAGGGAAATGTGCAGTTGTTGCCATCAGTGCCCTGAGCCTTCATTAAAGGTTTCAAGGTGGAGGAATACCTAGGGATGAAATTAAAGAAATTGTAAAACATAAGATTTTAGTGAAATACCAAAGACATCGCTGTTTTGGAGGTCTTCAGCAATGCATGGGATATTTCCTTATGAGTAGTCATTTGTGGTTGGGAAGATGAAGAGCTGGTTTTAACAGAACATTTGACTGTATTCCTCGCGTTGTTTACCGTGAAGCATTCTCGAGAGCTGCAGGGTTTCCAAATGGCTTCCTAATTCATGGGCGCTGCTTTTGGAAGGCAGGTAGACATAGGAAAAGAGGCAGTTTGGTACCCTCCCTGAAGACCATCATTGGAAAGCTCTTGAAAGGCTTTCTAGCTTAGAGAAGTTAGATACACTTCATGTCCCCAAGCTGACGCTCTGTAAAGCAGTACCCAGCAAGCCTTCTGTGAAATGTGTTACAACTCACTTCTCTTGCTCATACTATCATGCGCTAATTGCATCAGTCCCCTGGAGAAGCTGGGTGTCTGGGTATAACTGAGTGAAACCGCACCAGTTCAGGAAATGCAGTGAATGGTCTTATAATAGGCATCATCAAAACAGATGGTGATTAACTTGGAAGGTACCCTTCCTTGGTGACAGTTTGAAAGCTTTGAAAGGAGGTGTTCGCTGTGCATCAAAAGAAATTAGGATTAAACTGCCACGTGGGCACATGGTTGGAGGGAAAACAGAAAGGAGCTCACCGGAGCTCCTTACTACACATGCTTTCCCCGAAGACATCATCATCACATCCCGGCATCATTACCAGTTCCGCTCTGATGACGATCATGGCTCTCTCTTCCTCTCTGGAGCTTAAGATCACTGGCTTCCGTCTTCCCTCCCGGATGGCTCCAACTGGGTTAATCATAGTTGCCTCCGACTTGAGTCTACACCTCCTCCTGTCACTGCCCTGATTCCCTTTATGGGTTCCCTGTCTAGAGAAACAGGATTAGCTGCCAGCCAGTCATGGATGCTGGACACCATCTTTTCTTCCTGTGCTTCACCCCTTGACCACATGCTGGACTTTGCCTCTTGTTTATTTCATGGTCTAGCACTCTGCTCCATTCCCCCGCCCTTGGTCTGCTTCTGCGGTTAGCATCATTTGCCTGAGTACCACAGCCGCTTCCCAAAGAGTACTACTGCCGTAAGTCTGTCCTTCTGGCATTCCATTCACCCTAGAATTTTGAGAACGGTCTTCCCAAAGAAAGGGTCTGATCGAATTACTCCCATTCCTAAAAACGCTCAGTGGCCCGTGAAGTATGGAACAGTCTTTGTAACACAATGGAAGCCTCAAATACATCCTTCAAAACTGCACCTGCGACGGATCACCCATCGGTACACATCGATTACAAAGTCATGATGAAAATGTGTGCGTGTCCACAAAGAGTTGGAGTAAATAGAGCAAAAATGAAGATGTTTAGAGCAGTTGGTACTTTCTTTAAGAATGATAGTCTTCTGGTATTTTCCAGAGGAATGAATGACTATGATGAAGTGGAAGAAAAAAATTCAAAGGATTTTGT